AGGGACCTCAGAGCACGCTAAACATTGCCATGGCCGAGAAAGCTGGGTGTCGAACTGACGCTGCTGGGGCCGCTTCCCACCTGAAACAACGCTGCGTAAATGTGCGGCGCCCTGCGCGCTGACTTTTCTGCTGCGGGCGACCTTCGACATAGGGCGCAGCAGGGCGCCGTTGTGAAACTTCTGGCAAACTAGATGATCAGCTACCCTTTTTCCAAATCCACGCCTCCACGAGACGATCCAACGCGCGCCGAAGAATGCGATATGGGAGAGGTCGAGGGGGGGGAAGGCGCCCACGGATGGGCGGGACCACTGTAGGCCATGCACCCAGCCGGAGGGCGGAAGCGACACAGGCGCTGAAAGGGCCTCGACTGCTCTGTCAAGGGGATCTGTGCTCAGACAACCTGCGCCAAGCAGCCTCAGAGCCTCCAACAATGACGGGCGGGGGAATCCAGTGGCCCCAAACGGCAGAGGCTAGGGCGACCAAAGGGCCCTTGCATAGCTTAAGAGCTGGATCGACCTTGTCAACATCCGAGAGCTGCAGCATGAGCGAGACCGATCGGCCGTCGACCCTGGCAGCTTCGACCTGAGCTTGTTGGCGCCTCGCTTCGCGCAGCTCGGCGTTGTTCGTGCCTAGTACCTGATGCCCATAGGGCCGCGCGATGCAGTTGCTGACGCTTGAACAGGCGGCCAAACGAGAGCAGCGCGCGGTGCCCGACGCGCGCAGGAGGCGTGCGATCATGCCTGGCCCGTCTGGAAGCCTGCCTGCCCCCTGAAGAATCAATGCCAAAGTTGCGCTCGGTGACAACTCCCTGGGCCGAGACGAGAGACGTCTGAGCCGCGCCTGTAGTTTAACGCGCAGCTCGGCAGAGGATGCAGCGAGTTTGCTCGTGGAAGCTTTGGCCGCAAATCGGCCTTGGCAAGCTCTGAGTGCACCAACTCAGTGGAGCCAACCGAAGTGCTAATGACTTGCTCTTCCCGACGACACACGCGCAGCCCACAGTCATCCACCACGACCCCCTTCTCGACGGTCGGAAAAGGCACGACTGGCCGCACGACGAGCTGCAGCATCAGCGCGGCAGAGTGACAACCTGGAATGACGCCCTGCAGCGCGTGATGAACTCCGCCGCGTGGCCGCTGAAATCCAGGATCCGCGGCGCCCCGTGAAGTTGGATGAGAAGCTTGGGCTGAGATCGGCGGCGGCAGCTGCAGCAAGAGGCCTCGAGTGAGACATCTGATCAAAGAAGGCTTTCTCCACATCGAGAAGCTGAGAAATCTGCTCTCAAAGGCTTTCTCCAGATCGAGAAGCGCCAGCGCACACGCAAAGCCGCGACCCTGGACCCATGCAGCCTCCGCCGGCCGAATCCAGACCAGCTTGTCCGAACCCTGTCCAGCGGCGGCCCAGACCAACTCGTGGAACTTTTGACGCTGCCAGGCTGGCAGGAGCGGTCTGCGCAAGCGGCCTCGCACCCGCGCGAGGCAGCTCAAAAGGCCGATCGGGCGCAGACCACCTGTGCGCTTGAGAAGAAAAACGATCCTGGTGTGAATCTCTGGCCACTGGCATCGTGCCTCGATGGCCATGGTGAGCTGAATGAGGGCGGCCATAGCCTCGTCAGGGAGAACATCGAACTGCCGAGGAGACACACCATCGAAACCACAACCAGAGCGAGACAGAAAAGGATCGAAACACACTGCGCCTTTCCCTGACGGTGGGCTCAGGAAAAAGCGGCCCGAGATCCTCTGGCCATCGCAGATCAGGGTGGTCCTGATCCACCGTCCACCAGCGCCGCCATTCTGCCGCCAAAAGGTCCCTCACCCGCTGAGGAGATGCGGGCGCAGGCAGAAGTGCACCACTGTCCTCGAAACGTTCGGAGGCGTGCCAAGGGGCGCGCGGCCGAGTGGCGGCGAAGTGAGCCGCGGCCCCGTCGACAGAGTGGTCCCGAACCCATTGGCGCCAGTCGGCAGTCTTGGCATTAGCGGCCGTTTTGTGCTCTCGAACGGTTCTGGCACGATCTGGCACGGGCCCGTGCTTCAAAAACTTTCGCAAACTCATGCGAAAGGTGCCGTGCGTCGCCCAGTGCATGCCGCTATGGAGTGCAGGGCTTGAGCGAAGCGCACCCTCGCCTCGTGCAGCAGCCGGTTGCATGCGCGAAGGGCCCGCTGGCAAAGCTGGGGAGAGTGCCAGAAGAGAGAGAGAGAGAGAGAGAGAGAGAGAGAGAGAGCGCACGGCGTGCGCAACGCGCCTCCGCCATGCGGCGATGGCGCTCAGACGAGAAGGAACCCGATGAGGAGCACGATTGCGAACTTGCTCGAGTTGCAGCGGTCGACCACGTCCTGTGCGGGCGTCCGCCCGTCGAGGATCGATCTGGTAGATGTCGAGGAGCTGCCGCTCGGCCAAACGAGCGACATCCGCCCACATGCCCTGAACTGTGGCGCAGGGGCGCGGTACCGCCTCAACGTGCTGCTGCCATCGCTGCTGCCAATCGTGCCTCTCGCATCCATGCGGCCGAACCTTGGGGAAGCGACGCGGAGGGGTCGCGCGGAGGGTGAGCTGGTTGTCGGCCGAGGCACGCAAGTGCAAAAGAGCTGGCTTGCGTGGTGGCGACGGGCTAAAAGCAGCACGCGAATGCTGTGACCATGCTGCAGACTGTGGTGCGCAGCAAAGTCGTCAAGACACGCACCTCCAGACTCATGGGGACAAGTGGGGAGAGGCGTGGCGAGGATGACTGCTTCAATACTATCGACCCACTTGGATCAACGCGGAATCTCTGGCACAATATTCCAATCACCCTGAATTGCGAATGGCATGTTCAACTGCTTGGCCAACTCACGGATTCTGAAATCTTGGCCAGTTCGCTGTTGTCAGTCCAGTACTGTGATGCAAGTCTACTCCACTCCCTGAAAATCCTCCCGCACATAGAACGCCACAGAGTAAGGCTGCGACCCTGCCAGGCGAGATCTGTGGGAACAACTCCTAACTCACGAAGAACATTGGCCGCCGTCATCATCGCAACACCACCCGTCGTACCTTTGCTCGAAACGGAAGTGATGGCGGCCTCCTCCTCCTCCTCCTCCTCCTCCTCCTTCTCCTCATCACCATCACCATCACCATCACCATCACCATCACCATCACCATCACCACCATCAGCATCAGCATCAGCATCAGCATCGGCATCATCATCACCACCATCACTATTATCGCCATCATCGCCGTTGCCGCCGTCGTCATAATCACCATCACCATCACACTTTGCATCAGCATCAGTATCAAAAACATCATCATCATCACCAGCAGCATCATCATCATCATCGTCGTCATTATCATCATCATCCCGATCCTCCTCCCCATCACCCATCTCCTCCTCAACCTTTTTCACCACCTCCACCTCAACCTCCAGCTGTTCCTCCTCCTCCTCCGCTACTCGTCCTCCACATCAGCATCATCATCATCGTCATCATTTACCATCACCATCAACAACATCCTCATCCTAATCCTCATCCTCACCCACACCACCGTCATCTTCATTAACCTACACCGCATCATCTGCATCATCATCATCACCACCATCATCAGTTTCACCATTATCATCATCACCATTATCAGCATCAACATCAACAACAACACCACCAACAACAACAAACCAACCATCTTAACCACCATCACCAGAGCCCTCACACGCACCCGTACCGTCGCCACCAATATAATCATTATCATCATCAGCATCACCATCATCGTCATCATCATCAGCAACAACAACATCATCATCAGCATCATCACTATCAATATCACCATCATCATCGCAACCGTCATCAGCATCATCGTCGCCACCACCACCACCATCGTCATCATCACCATCAGCGGCACCATCGTCAACATCATCATCAGTATCATCATCATCATCGTCCTCATCAACATCGGAATCATCACCATCGTCAGCATTATCATCATAATAATAATCACCCTCATGTTCATCCGCGTCGTCATTCTCGTCGTCCTCCTCCTCCTCATTACCACCATCAGTCTCAACATCATCATCAGCATCATCGCCGTCGTCGCCGTCGTCGTCATCATCGCCATCATCATCATCATCGTCATCAGCGTCATCCTCCTCATCAACATCATAATCATCATCATCATCACTATCATCATCACCATCATCATCAACATCATCATCACCATCACCAACACCATCACCATCCTCTCACCATCATCATCAGCATCATCATCATCATCATCATAGTGAGCATCAGCATCGTCATCATCATCTTCACCATCACAATCATCAGCATCATCATCATCGTCATAAGCATAAACATAAACAGCATCACCATCATCACCATCATCATTCTCATCAGTGTCACCATCATCATGTTCACCATCAGCATTATCTAAATATTCTTCAGTATCATCAGAATCATCATGTTCATCATCATCATCCTCATGCACATCCGCATCCTCATCCTCATCCCCCTCATCATCATCATCATCATCATCATCATCATCATCATCATCATCATCATCATCATCATCATCATCATCATCATCATCATATATCATCATCATCATCATCATCAACATCAGCATCAGTATCATCATCGCCGTCGTCACCAGCATCAGAATCAGCATCAGCATGAGCATGAGCATGAGCATCAGCATCATCATCGTCATCAGCATCATCATCACCATCATCGTCATCATAGTCATCATCATATCAGTATCAGTCGCATCATCATTATCATCAGTATCATCAGTATCATCATCATCATCAGCAGCAGCAGCATCATCAGCATCATCATCATCATCATCACCATGATGGTCGCCATCATCATGATCATCATCATCATCAACATCATCATCAGCATCATCACCATCATCATTCGTCCCTCCTTCCTCCCTCCTTCGGCCCTCATTCGTCCCTCATTCGTCCTTCCTTCGTCCTTCCTTCGTCTCTCCTTCTCCTTCTCCTCCTCCTCCTCCTCCTCCTCCTCCTCCTTCTCTTCCTCTTGCGGGCGGCCTCGTACCGGATGATGGTGCCCGAACTGTCCGACCTCGCCCAGTAGTACGGCTTGCCGGCCTGTCCGCGGCAGCTGGAAGGGGGGATAGGGAGGGGTGGGAGAGAGGGAGGGAGGGAGGGAGGGAGGAGGGAGGGAGGGAGGGAGGGAGGGAGGGAGGGAGGAGGAGGTCGAGATGTAGAAGGAGCGGTAGGAGTGGGACGGAGGCGGGGCATGCTGGGGCTGGCGCAGGAATGAGAGGTTGCAGAGAAGGGACGAACAAAGAGCAGGAAGAGGGACCTAGAGGAAGGGACGAGGAGCAGCAGCAGCAGGGGATGAGGAGGAGGAGAGGGGAAGGAGGGAGGACGATGAGCGTCCCCGAAGCGGGTGCATGTGAAGAAGCCACTCGCCACATGCCCTCGGTGGAATGCAGCTCCTCTCGGGCGCGAGGCGCTCCGCAGACAGGCTCGAGCTGAAACTGCGGCACACCTCTCGCGAGTGCGGGCCAGGCTTTGCGTGAGCGCCTGCCTGGAAGCACGATGCACCTATCAAGCACCGCAGTTCAGTCTCGAGGAGCGTGGGGCTGGGGGCACGAGCAAGAATCGGAAGGAGGAAGCGCCCGCACTGACCGTCAATGCTGCGCTTCTCTTCCACCGAAGACCAGGCCGCACACGGTGCTTCTGATGTCGGGAAGAACCCCCCACTGGCACGCTCGTGTGGAAGACGCCCCCGTCACAGATTGCGCCCAAACGCTTTCCCGGCCTCAAGACAGCCAGAACACGGCTGCAAGACGCCCCCAGACTGGCCTAAGACAACCCAAAGACCCCCCGAGTGCCCAAAGATGTGCCCAAGAGGCCCCCAACCACCATGCCCGTGCGGAAAGCGTACCAGTCGCACGCTCCCAAGCGCCCTGGTGACCTTAAGACGGCCCGAAGAACCCCAGGGACCACCAGATGTCCTCAAGAGCCCCCC